GTCCGCTATGGAAAAAATATTTCCAAAAAAAAAAAAAAAAAAAAAAGACAGACCTGAGAAAGACCTGATCAAGCCATGTGGCACCTTCTCTGCTTTCACCTGACAGCACCGTTTAAATAAAATAGTGTCATGGTGGGCAAATTTGAGGTGGACAAGCTGCTGGAAACATCTTCATCTATCTTCACTATCCGCAATGTAGAGGAACAAGACTGGGCCACCTTCTAGCCCGTCTTCTGGGAGACGCACAGTGACAGATGTTTCGAGCCAGCTCATTCAGTAACTGTGCGACAGCTCCTGATTTAGTACAGTGAGCTGGGAAACCACCGTCACCACCAGTGCGCCTTTGTGCAGTTCTCCAGAGAAATGCTCACGTGGTGGCTTTACACAGAGCGCCACGTTCTCGCTCCTCGCAGAGCAGGGTGAGCATAAGTGTGTCTGGGTGATGGGCCTTATCTTTTCAGGCACCTACTCTCCCCTGACTGCCTTTCTAGGTCATTCACGTGGTTCATAATGGGAAAAATTTCTCTGTATATTGAGGACGTAGAGATAATATCTGAAGGTTGTTGTTTAGAAAAGCATGTAAAGAATTCTGCTCTACCAATTTTTCTTGTCTCCTCTACAACAACTTTTTCTTTCTACTCAAAGCAAAATTCTGACAGTTGACTGGACTAATATACAGGGTATTCATGCTGGGAAAATTCATTTTCAGTGTTAGGAAAATAAATGCAATTGAATGTAAAGATCAGAAAAAAATAAAACATATATAAATAAAGAAGAAGCATGTAATCTGAGGGAAAAAATCTGTTTTTTCTTCTGATTCCTACTGACCTCACTAATTTAAAGAAAATGTTAGGATGGGACCAGATAGTAGTGCAGCAGGATTGTGATGCTCTGAGGAGCTGTCTCACCTGGGAAGGCTCCAGATTTGAGTTTAAAGAGCTCTGTGATAAGCCAGAGGATGTATGTGGCCATGACCAGGAGCTGGCTAGAACTGGGGGGGTGGATCATGGCATCAAGACCTTATCAAGGTGCTATCTCTTTCTCTGTCTCTCTTCCAATCTTGCCCAGGAAATAATAAGTAAATAAACTTTAGAAAATGAAGTTAATATTTGGGGTGCTCTGCATAGTTTACTGGACTTTTACATCTTGGGCGCTGTGACTTCTAAGCCTGGAGAGAAAGGATCTTGAGAAAACAAAGAAACAAATTCTTCCAGTGGATTAATCAGTGTACAAGACAATGGGCCACTCTCACTTCTACTTTTGGATTCTCCTGCCATGAGGTAGATGGCTCACTGTGTTGACCACTGGGAGAAGACTGTACCATGGGGTAGGTGGCTCACTGTATTGACCACTGAGCCCAGGCTCCCCCCTACCCCTGTCCATGGACAAAGAGGAAACTGACACTCTCCTCCCACTTCCCAGCCTCTTGCCAATGCTTCCACTGGCTGCTCCCAAGTGACACCTGGAGGACAAGGAAGCCTATGAAGGCAGCCTGGGAGGGGGTGGTCAGACTAAAGGCAGACAGCAGTGGAGAGCTATCTGGGAGAACAAAGGAAGAAATCAAGTAGACAATATTAATGGCCTACATTCATCCCTAAATGACTAAAAGAAGCTTAAGAGCCAGTGGACGATATCATCTAGTTTGTCTCATTTCACTTTCTGCAAAGCCACCAAGGTCGCATCTCCAACTGAACAGGATGTGTGATTGTGCCTTCAATACAAACAGGAAACTGGACAAGTCTTGAAAGATCATTATTTATTTATTTATTTATTTGTAAAGAAATGTTTGTTCTAGGTCATGTGTACTCTCCAGAGAGTCAGAGAGAGACAGAGAGATAGAAAGTGACAAATCACACCAATGGGGAATGGCCATGCCACAATCCCTTCTACTCCATTCTCCTCTCAGGACTTTGAGTATGTGCGCACACATGCCCAGTATAAGTTTCAAGCTGCTGCATCCGAGACTTGAACCACTGTTGACTACCTGGAAGTCCAGCAACGCAACCATTATGCCATCTGCTGGTTCCAGAGTTCATTATTAAATCCCATACTTTCCTAGTTGATGGCATAATAGGAGCATGGAGATGATTTACTTTAGTTATTGGATTAAGTGAAAGATTTGCTGTTATGTACTGATGCATTAAATAAATCATCAACACATAAGTGGAATAAATTAAGTAACCTACAAATAGATTTATGTTTATGTAAATGTTTGTAGTTTGTATAAGCCAACATGAGTATTATGTTCCATTTCTATGTTATTGATGTTTTCTGAAAACAATAAATAAGTGTGAAATAATGAAGTAATCCCAACTCTTATTAATGACTAAGAACGAAGAAGTGTCTGCCACGTTCAGTCAGTTAAAATCTACCTCTCCACATACACACACATAGTTTTTATCTTTGATTTCTCTTCTGTAAATCTTTAATCCACTTCTTGGAATTTTTTAGCTGGTGTTTAACTATTTCAATTACTTGCTGATCATTTCTATCCTACTGTAGTCTAACTGCCTTTATTGTCTTTTAACTTGTAAATTAAAGTTACAGAGTAATTAACCAAAAATCTATAGGCATATTCTGAAAGTGCATGAATTAGGATTCCTAGGGCATCAGTCAGCAACGCACTTCGTCTGTACTTATTTTTTTTGGAGAGGTTTTCGCTATAGGGCACGTGCGCTCGCCAGACAGACAGAGACATAGAGACAGAGAGACAGAAAGCGAGAAATCACCCCCCAGGGGGGATGGTCACGCCGCAATCCCTTCTCCTCCATTCTCCTCTCGGGATCTTGGGCACGCACGCACACGCACCCAGCGTGAGTTCTAAGCCACCGGGTCCGGGACGCGAACCGCGGTCGACTACGTGGGAGTCCAGCGACATAGCCATTACGCTAACTGCTGGTTCCCTGTACTTATTTTTTTGACTTAGTAATGAAAAAAATAATAATTGGTTTCTATGTACAGAGTTGAATTTGTTCCCCTATCTTTTAGATTAGATGAGGGTTTTTTCTTTTAATGACTTTCATTTCTTGATGATTTTGGATTTGTTGAAATGATATTCTTTGGTTTCTATTTGAAACTGGATAAACACAATTTAAGCAAGTGAAAATATGTATTTCCGTATCAGAACATAAGTGTATATTTTACTGTAGAGTATCTAGATACAACTTTTCAAACACACTCAGGTAGTATTGAAAATCATCAAATCAGACTGAAGGATTTGATATTTACTTGAAAAACAAAACGAAAACAAAACCCTTGCTCAACTTCAGTTAGAGGAAAAGAACAGCAACTAAGAGGTATGTAATTCTCTCTCTGCTCCTCCTTAGTCCTTAATATAAAATTCACAGAAAGAGAAGTTGTGGTGACCTAATACAATGACCTATGGGAAACTATCATGTCGTTGGAGCCAAAATAATGAGCACATGTACCAATTACCATGTATCTAACCACATCCTTTCCAACATGGAGCAACCTCATCAGCCTTCAACCTTTGCTAAGCCTCAGCCTCATTCTGCAGCACTTCCTGTATTCCTCTGTATAAAAGGAAACCCACAAGGGAGTCTGATGGCTATCAATTGCTCCCCAACAGACACTAATAACTATGCTCAACCTATGTGGCTTCACAACAGTTTCCATTTTTTTCTTCTCTTTCTTTTTGTAAAAACATAGGATACCTGTGATGGTGAATTTCATATGTCAACTCAGCTGGAATAGGGATGATCAGGTAGCTGGTAAAACATGACAAGGGGTCTTCAGAAAATTAATGGAAAGTGTATATTATAAAAAATTATGCATGTATTTAATTATTTTTCAGTAAAAATAAACTTACACTTTAATTCCATTTTCCATGAACTGTTTATGTTTACTTACAAGTGTCAACAAGGGTGTTTTATTGCAGTTAATCAGGCAGTGTGGCTCTCAACAATTAGACACACTCTGCACAATGGGCACCTGCCTCCTTTGTGAGCATGTACACACACACACACACACACACACACACACACACACTCGCACATGACTGTGAATCGCTGGGTCTGAAAGGAGCTGTCTGGTAGTGATGATCTTGCAGGGGACTGAATGTGTTCCATTGTGGCAATGCCCAAACTAACAGAGGCAGTACTCAGGTTCCCAAGCTTACACCTACAGTCTGCAGCCTTACTGTCCTCTCCTCCTTCCTCTTGTTCCCAGAACCTATGCTGGTGCAGGGAAAAGCAAGTCCTACTTCTTGTCTTAGGGCTTTGTATCTATACCTTCCACTCCCTCAGCATCCCGATGTCCCAATATCCAATGACCACCCAGAAGCAACACTTAACAGGAAGAGAGAAATCAGGGAAACCACCTCAGGAGGCAAATCAGGTCATCCGAGTCAGCCCCTTCCCTTCAAGCGAGTTCAAGGTCTCGCCTACCCCACATGGTACATTCTAGGCTGCACGTAAGTATTAGGAGAAACTCCTGTCCAGGGTGAAAGGAACTCTGATACACTCAATGACACCAGAGAAAACCATACAGAAATCACAAAATGGAAGTGAAGAAGTTTAGTTAAATAAAGAATTGCAGAAAAGACAGTTTTCTAACATGAGAAAATGGAATACTAATAACATTTCACTAGTTTCCTCTGACTTACCCGGGCTACTACTTCAGAATGGTCACCAAAGTATTTTAACAATGAAAGTTAAGGGAAAGGTTAAATAGCTGACAGTATGGGGAAGTCAAATTTTAAAAGTAGAGTAGTAACAATAATAATAGCGTGTGTGTGTGTGTGTATATATATATATAAATTTTATATATATTTATATATACATAATTATTTCTGAAAATTTACTCTATGTCAGGAATTATACTAGGTATATTTGGTTATTTAATCTGCACAGAATTTTTATATGGACACCCCTATTGCATCCATGTTTAAAGCACAAAGAGATTACAAAATGAGCACAGGGCTACACGGTTCCACATGAAACATAAAGAGATTAAGAAATTGGCACAGGGCTAGGCAGTTTCCACATGATAAAGATGGGCATTAATAGTTTCAGACATTACATAATGCTTGAATAGCATGGAAAGCTGCTCAGATCCTAAGTTGAACTGAAAGAACATAAAACCTTATCTGAATACAGTTATAGTCTATTATATCACATTGATATCCATGTATGTGTAAAGAAAAATTCCTAGAAGTTGACACGACATAATCATATTGTTGGTCCTGGTGATAGGATCAGAGGTGTTGTTATTTTTGTCTTTACCCTGTTTCTCTAAGTTTCCTCAATGAGCATCCTTACCAGCATGTCCTACTGCTTCACTGAGTCGCTCTTCCCTTTGTTGTACCTCAATATTTCATATTCTATCAAATGAAAACCACAAGTATCCATATTACATGATTGTTGCCATGTAAAGGGTTCATAAAATAACTCCTAGATGCAGAAACCCTCCCCATCTCCATGGCAATTAAGGCGCCTCCTCAGTTCCCTCGCACTCAAGCAGAGCCCTCTGGAGAACACCAGCTTGGTCCTGAGATCTGCAGGGCAACCATGAGGTGTGCAGTGCTGAGTCTGTAGCCAAGGCCAAAGATCCGCTCAGCTCACCATTTCCTTCCTTCTCCCCATTTCAGGCCACACCCTCTGCACTGTCCTGAGGTGTCCAGTCACCAGGTCTCCATGTCCTGCCTTTCCTGACACGGCCTGGCAGACAGGATGTCACTGTTGGAAGCAGTCGCCTTCTGCTCCTTCTGGACTGGTGAGTTCCCATCCATTTCAGTCGAGATGAGCAAGCACTGTGATTCTTCAATGTGTCTATCTTACTCTGAGAAGTAATTGGAAGTTCTCCTCTCTTACTTACAGTTGGACTTGGACTATCAAAAGTGGAGCAGCACCAGGTGTCTGTTACCACAGAAGTCAAGAAGAGCATCGACATATATTGCAAGATATCCAGCACATATTTTGAAACTGACATCATTCACTGGTACCGGCAGAAGCAGAATCAGACTTTAGAGCATCTAATTTATGTGTCCTCAACAAAATCTCCAGCTCGGGGTCATATGTGGAGTGGGAAGAACAACAAAGTTGAAGCAAGAAAGAGTTCTCAAATTTCCACTTCAATCCTTACCATAAACTTCATAGAAAAAGAAGATGAGGCCATTTTCTACTGTGCTGGGTGGGACACAGCCACAGTACCAGAACTGTAGCAGGAACTCACTCAAGATCTCTGCTTGTCTGAGCCAACCACATCCTTCCCGACAGGGGCAACCACAGCCCGCTCTCCAGGTGGCCACACCGGACCACTGAGCCAAGAAGCTCAGAAGATATGTGGCATGGTAAATAAAAAATAGTAATAAAAACATAGTTATATTATACTGGAACTGCTAAAAACTCAAAAAATAAAGAGAAAATATTAAAGACAATAAAAAGAGAAAAAACAGCAAACTTTCCATCAGAATCCATGCAGGCAACAATACATGACAGTGAAATCTTTAAAGCATTAAGAGAGAAAAACTGTCACCATAAAAACTTTCTCAGACAAAATGGACACTTCATTGCTAACAGAACTACTGTACAATATGTTATAAAAATTTACTCAGGGGGGAAACAAGCAATATAGGCCAAAAACTAGAAGAAACGATAAACATTAGGAATAAGAATAAATGGGAGCAGTTAGTGGTGTGGTGGTTAAGGAGGCTGCATCCCACCTGGCCAACTGTGCAGTCCCAGACCTGGTGGCTTTGACGTGTGTGCGTGGGACCAGAAGTTGGCATAATGACTGTGTCGCTGGACTCCCACATAGTCGACCGTGGTTTGAGTCCCGGACCCGGTGGCTTAAACTCACGCCGGATGCACGCATATGCGTGAGTGCCCAAGATCTTGAGAGGAGAATGGAGGAGAAGGGATTGAGGTGTGGCCATTCCCCTTGGGGGGTGATTTCTCACTTTCTGTCTCTCTGTGTCTCTCTGTCTGGCGA